AGAGGGAACCTGGGATCACTGGTGGAGGGAAGTTGACACTGGTGGCAGGATCAATGCTGGAACATTGTAAGTCTAAAACCCAATCATGAGTAACTTTGCAAATCGTGATGCTTTCATAAAATAAAATTTTGAAAAAATGGGGAAACTGGAGCAATAGTATAGTAGGCAACTTGCCTTGCACATGGCTGACCTGGGTTCAACCCAGCATTGCATATGGTCCTTCAAGCTCTGCCAGGAGTGATCCCTGAATGCAGAGCCAGGAGCAACTTCTGAGTACCGCTAGTTGCGTACTCCAAACAAACAAACAAAAAACTTGTGAGAGACGGGTTGAGAAAGAGCCTTACTGGCAACAAGCCAGCAGAATAGCAGGTAGTAAATTCACATCCTCAAAGTAGCCAGTTTGCACACTCACAGAAAGGTAGCTGGGAAACTACAGAGAAAAGAAGATAAGCTGTGTTTCTCCAAATGTTCGGTTACAGATTACTGGACTAGAATGAACTAGTGCACTAGAATGAACAATAAAAATTTCTTAGTGGGCTTGTCCCATGAGACATTTTGTTTTATCTGGAAATTCAAAGTACAGCTGAGATTGGGGGAACTGGCAAACTACGGCCTCATCTTTAGATTTTGGCACAAGGTTGGGGCAAGAAAAACTTCACTTATAACCATTTTCTTTGGTCTAGTTCATTATTTCATCAATCATGTAAATAATAAAACCAAATTTAAAAAAGTTTTTTTAAAAAAAATGTAATCCTGATTTTCAACACCACCCACCTTTCAAATGTTTGATAACTCCACTGGCTGTGCTCAGACAGGTGAACACAGGCATCAGGAATGGAATGACATTGGAGCAATGACATGCCATCTCTGCCACCGTGTCCCTACCTAGGAAACAGGAGCAGTTCTCTGCCCTGCTTAAGTCATATCGTTTATGATCTAGTGTGTGAGGGTCACGTGATATCTGGCTCAGTAGAATAAATGTCAGCTACCATCCCTCCTTTGGTTACGTGATAAGCATGCAGAATAACAACTGACATAAAGGAGAGCTAATGCATGTTCCTTCTGTTTTGCTGGGTTTGGGGCCACACCTGGTGGTACTCAGTGTTTACTCCTGGCTCTGTGCTCAGGGGTCACTCCTGGCAGTAGTCTGGAGATAATATAGGATGTTGGGAATCGAACCCGGGTCAATTGTGTACAAGGCAAGCACCTTTCCCTCTGTACTATCCTTTAGGCCCCTGAGATATGTTTGTATATCAAGAGACATTGTTCAGAGAAATAGAACTCACAGCATGCAAGATGAAAGGTGAAGGTGTTTTCAAAGTGGCTGAAGAAGGGAAGAGCACCAGTCAACATAAACGGCCCTGGTGTTGCCAAACCTGAGGCCTCTGCGTGGACTTGTCACTAATGGATAATTGGAAGGAAGTGTGAAGAGGTGGGGAAGCACTGACCACACACCACAGATGTGCCCCAGCACACGCGGTCTTCAGGAATTCCATTCCGGAAGCGTGGCAAGCCCCACCTGTATGTTTTAAGTGGTAGAGATCTAACAATGGGCAAGTGAATCCTGACACCTTAAGGAAAAAGTGGAATTGAAAACCTTCCAAAGAAAATAATAATTAGAATAAAACCACAGATAGAAATTTTAACTATACTGCTTACTCTAAGTCTTTCCAAGCTTTAGTTTTATGACAAAGACGTGTGTGCATGGCTTAAAGAACCTCATGATCCAGAGTGTCATTTAAAGAGACATGGCATTAGAAAATGGACAGAAGTTGTGTTTAATACAGCAAAACACACAAGTGAGTAATACTAGAATAAAGGTTATTTGAAAGTTCTTATGTTGGGAGAAAAATGTACTTTTTGTTGTATTTTTTTTTTTGGACCACACCAACTGGTTCTCATGGCTTACTCCTGGCTCTGTGTTCAGATGTAACTCCTGGCACTGGGAAGTTACAGGGTGGAGGTGTTATGGGGTGCTGGAGATCGAACTCAGGTTTGCCACATGCAAGGCAAACACCTTACCTTCTTTACTATTGCTCCAGGACAACATGTCTTAGAAACTTTATTGTAGAGACCAATAATTTGATTGAACCATTCTACATTTTGTAACTAATTGAAATATATACTATTAATATATTCAAAATAGAGATGAATAAATCTGAGATAGTTGATCTCCTTTGTAGGATATAGTGAGACCAAAAATAGACAGAATTGAACTGCAGGAGATACTCTGGGCAAAAACAAAGTGGGTCTTAGAATATAAATGAGCAATAAAAATGCACATAGGGAACAACTAAATAGATTATACAAGGCAAGCAAAAATGTGCCCAGGAAAGAATAGGATAAACTAGCTTAGGTTCCTCTAGATATAGAGGGCAACATGGGGAATAGGCAACTTGTCACAACTTTGCACTATACTTTAGAGTGCCTGCTGATTGGCTGTGTGAACTATCCTAGTCTCTGCTCTTTATTGAACTTTGATGTGCTTACAAACTGTTCTTAAAGTCTCTGTCAATTGAAACAATAGCTTACATGTTTGGAAACATTAAGTAAATAAATGGCCAACTTGTGTATTCACTTATGACTGTCCAGGTAATCCTAAAGCTTGTATAGTCCTTGTATTCTTATTAGTCTCTAAATATGTTGTTGGTCTTGTTTCCTGGAACTGACCTCTGCTGGAAATAGGTTGAAGGTGCTAATCCTATTGGATTTAGAAACTAACAATGACAAACCCTTGGATCTTGATTACAAAACTGATATTACCAATCAGTCAGTCAGAGGAGAGGGTGAGAAGGAAGAGATGGACTGGAAGAGATGTAGGACAGTGATGGAGGGGCTAGGTTACTTTGGTGGCATTGAAGGTACATCAATGCTACAAAGCATTCTACTCATAAACTATACTAATAATTGTAAAATTAATTAAAAAGTAAATGTATGTGGCTGGAGCAATATTATTGGTGGATAAGGTGCTTGCTTTATATGTGGTCGACCTGAATTCCATCCTCTGCATCCCATATGATCCTCTAAGCACCTCCAGGAGTAATTCCTGAGTGCAGAGCCAGGAGTAACCCCTGAGTGTTACCACAGGGGTGACCCCTCAAAAATACATAAAGGCAAAGGGTCTCAAATACATTTGTTTTGTTAAAAACAAGACCACAGGACCCATGCTGTACTTAGGGTTTACTCCTAGGATCATTCTTTGTTCAAGGATCATTCCCGGTGAGGACTGGGGGCCCCTATGAGATGCTGAGGGTCTAACTGGGGCCAGCAGCATGTAGTCAAGAGCTTAAACCCTCTACTAACTCTCTGGCCCCAAGATGAATGGAGTTAAGGGGCTGGGAAATATGCAGCTATTAGGCAGGATCCTAACCTAGGTTCGAGTCCCAGCAGCACATGGTCTCCTGAGCATGGCAGACAGCAGTCCCGAGCTCCCCAGTTCTGCTGGGTATGGCTCAGCATGGCTGGGGTGATCTGGGCAATCTTCCACAGCACAGGCTTTGGGCAGTGTCCCACCCACTGTCGCTTGTATTGAACCACCAGCTCAGCTGGCCTTCTGGCCACTGCTTGGGAAGCCCCTGAAGCCCCACACCCACACCCAAGAAATAATTAGAATTGGCAAGATCTACATCTTCTACTCTAATTCTCCAGAAAATATTCTGAGGTTGTATTCTCTAGATTCAAAGAATCAATTTAGAGAGCTATTTCTTATAAAGCTATTTACTCAGCGAAGTTGAGTGAGTTGGTGAAATTTCGTTCAAATTTTCACAGAAATTTAGGAATATAACTTTTGGCTGATAGAAACATCATCTATTTTCCATTTGGGTACTACAATATTTTGGATGACTTTGTTCATTGATCCTAAGGCATGTATACCTAGAGGAAGAATCTCTTACATTCATAGAGTAAAACCTGTATCCGAGCAATTAATTTCTTACAGGGATATAAAAATCAATTAAGATGCTACAGTTAACTAAATAACAGAGTTCAAATGTCAGCCCATTTCTATCCAAATGTAACTTCCCAAATACTGAGGCCACATTTAAACCCCAACGACCAGAAAGGAGCTCTCTTCCAGGAATCACTTGTGTAATGCATAATTATTTGTTTCCTGCTGTTTGTAAGTCTGTAGCACTGTAGCACTGTCCTCCGCTTGTTCACTGATTTGCTCAAGCAGGCCCAGTAACATCTCCATTGTGAGACTTGTTGTTACTGTGTTTGGCATATGGAATATGTCACAGGTAGCTTGCCAGGCTTTGCCCTGCGGGTGAGATACTCATGGTAGCTTGCCGGGCTCTTTGAGAAAGGTGGAGGAATCGAACCCGGGTTGCCCAGTTTGGCTGCGTGCCAGGCAAACGCCCAACCCACTGTGCTATGGCTCCATTGATCAAAATTTTATGAATGACAAAACTCAATTTTCAATAATGGCAATCTCTAGAGGAAAAGGATTTCTCTTTCAAGTCACTTTAAATAAAGAGAAAAATCTTTTGTCCCTTTTCTAGTAGGAAGACTTTGATGCTTTATCTAGAACAAAGCCTACATCAATTCTCAACAACTAGCAACATCATCAAAAGGTGAGAAAGTAAAGCAAAGGGTGTCAAACTCTGGACATTCACCTTGACAAAAAAATAAAGGCCCCAAGAACATCCAAGATTCTGAAATATGCACTGCTAGGACATTTGGTTTCTTAACAAAGAGTGGTTAAAATGAAGATATTCATATAAAGTGTTCCTGAATAAAGCAGACAATCAGCAAAGGGAGATTAACAACACTTGTGTCGCCTAAGGAATACTCAAAACTGCATTGGGAAAGAAAGGCTGCCCAAAATAGACAGTGTTTAACAAAAAGTACTGAAAAGGGAATCATGCAATAATTTGGACACAAACAGCCAAGAATTCTGCCATAGAGTCTAAGTATTAGTTAGAAGTTAACTATAAAGACCCAGTTGAAAAGAATACATTTTAGAACACAAAAGTTCAACATGACTATGCATCAGCATTTACCTTAGACAGTTCCATGCCTGGTCCACATTGCTTGCAGAGGACACAATTTCCAGAACGATCTCTGAATTCCTGTTGTCTACAGTCTACTGTTTCACAGATCCCTTGACATGCCTTAAAAAAAAGTTTCGGAAAATTTTACCTTGAAGTAAGCTACTTTTAATTTTTATAAGAAAGAAATAATTTTACCAATTTTACCAATATTACTCAATATTATACTTCATCTCAGTAAGACCAAGTTTCACTTTCAAAGAAAAATGACTTTCTCAATAGGAGAGTGGAATTAAAAAATAAGTAAGTCAGATTCTTCTCCAGAGTCACTGCCTGGGGTGGATTTCTTGGAATTAATCATACTCACATACTTTTCTTAGTATCCAGAGAGAGAAATGATATGGGAACTTAAAGCAATCATGCCCGGACCCTTTTTTACCTTGAAAATATATATTAATATACATTAAAATATGTATACATATTCCAATGTGATGACTGAGTTAAATAGGGAATAAACTGGTACTATGATCAAAATTCTGCTATTACCCATTATGCACTCCGTGCCACCCAGTCTTTGATGAGGAAATTTCTACCTTTCTTGGGTGAACTACATTTACTTAGAAGGCATCTTTTGACAGTCAAGAAATCAATAGATTTTTTAGTGAAAACTGAAAACTTTTCCCTCTAAGATCAGGCAGAAGACAAGATTGCAAAAAAAAAAGAGAAATCAATAGATTTTTGACAATGATGAAGATAACTATAGTGGTCAAACCCTCTGGGTTCTTTCCCAATAAAAAGTGCTATAAAAAAAACCACCTTTCTTACTGATTATCATATGACCACGTGAGCAGGGTCCAACAATATACTTTGTTATATAGAATAGGACGTTAATGGAAAGATTATTTACTCTGGCAAAACCAAAAGTTTTAAGTCTTTTTAAGGACCAAAGAGATAGTACAGCAGGGAAGACTCTTGCCTTGCACACAGCTAACCTGTGTTTGATTCCTGGCACTGCATATGGTCCCCTGAGCCCTGCCAGGAGCAATCACCAAGCACAGAGTCAGAGGTAGGCCCTGAGTTCACCCAGGTGTGGCACCGAACTTTCCCCAACCCTCAGAAAAAAAGAAACAAAAAAATGCAGGGCATTGAAAAATTTTTCCCAGAACAGTAAGTTCACCATCATCATCTATAACCATGTGTTTGCCTGTTTATAAATGGACAGTATTTCAAATAACTTCATCTGTGTGTCTTGTTTGCTTGTTTTCGCAGCCACACCCAGCAGTGTTCAGGGGTCTGTGTTCTGATGGAAATGGAACCTGGACCTTTCACATGCAGAATGTGAAAGAATCAATTCAATCCCTTTTTCTTTTACATATTTTCCAAGAAGTTTTTTGCACAGAGAGTGGTCGTTCAGGTAAATAATTATTTTTATGCTTGCAAGTCATGGTTACAAGATTTTATCTCCAGCAGCCCCCTGAGCATTGCCCCAACCCACTTTTTGTTTTGGTTGGTGCGGGTATAGTTTGCATTTATTTATTTATTTTTTGGTTTTGAGGTCACACCTAGTATTGCTCAGGGCTTACTTCTAGCTCTGTGCCCCTAAATCAACTTTTAAAATTAAATATATACAGTTAATATACATTAGCTATATATATGTTGTATATTAACTATATATGCACATCCATCCATCCATCCATCCATCCATCCATCCATCCATCCATCCATGTATTCCCCCTCCTCCACTCTTCCCATGTCTCTTGTGCTGCTGTGCGGCCAGCTATCCCCACTTCTGATGATGCTTGCAGTGTCTGCACACACTTAGTTGCTGTGCTTGTACACTTGGCTGCAGCATGTCGAGAATCACACATTGTCTCACGGCACTGGCAGTCCCAAACCTGTCTTGTAGGTTGGTGCTGGGGGATCAAACTTGTGGCCTCATGCCTATGAGGTGAACACTGTCCCATTGAACTGGCCCTGGCCCTCACAGATGGTTCCTAAAACAGCATCTCTAGTTGGGGAGGACATTTGATTCCACTTCCTCTCCTACGTAGCCATACCCTCATGGATAATCTGACTATAATTTTGTTTCTCTGAATAAATGCTGAAAACTTAGCAAATATTGTGGGGGGGGGTGGCATAGGAGAGGATATAGGCTGCTGTCTTGGACAATGCCCATCACGCAGAGGTGTACAGGAAGTCATTTTTGATGACTATAATAAGGAGCAATTATTGAGTGAAAATGAACTCTACTTTGAAGTCGGAGTATCTGTAATGTCTGCCAACCTCCTTAACTAACATCAAAGCATCTAACCCTTCAGAGCAGCAGAACGGAATTCCAGGTGGGGGTTAAGACGGGAAACTGGTGGAGGGCAAGGTCTAATCATCTCCAGCCACTCTTATTTTTCCCCTGGCTGCCCATCTCTGAGTTTTCTTTCATGCCAGGGGTGGGGTGGAAGATTCCCGTCTCCTGAGAAGATACTCAGGTCACCCTGAAAAAAATATTCCATAATCTCCCACCAAAACCATTTTGCTTCTAATGCTTCCCATAACTTTAACTCGCTTTACATTGACCTGAATCTCAAACTTCAATTTTACATCTTTTACTTTGCTTTCCAAAAAGATTTCAGTGCACATCATTGTCTTAGGGGTACATAATTAATTTTGTGTTGGTACATCAAGACTATATCTCGAGGCTAATGATTCTTTTGAACATGTTCATAGATGTTTTCCCTTCATCTTTCAAGCATTAAAATTCTCCATCTCCATTTAAAGCTTTTTTTAAAACATGGAGTAACCATATAAACAAATGCTTTATTAAAAATCAATTTTAAGGCCAGGGAGATAGTTCAAAAGACTGGAACACCTACCTTGCATGTCTGAATGTTTGATCTTTGCATGAAGATCTAGGTTTGATCCCTGATACCACATGGTCCCTTGAAAACCACTGGAAGCAATGACTGAGTATGACCAGATATATGCTCCACTCCCCCCAAAAATAAATGATAAATTACTTGTAAACTGTTCGAAGGCCTGGACTCTAAATTAGAACCTATAGTTTTGATAGGGTCTAGTATGTGGTGTAAGGAACAGGCCCGTAAATACAGGGTAGCATCACACTGTAAGGCTATAAAACTGTGGTTTCACTGAATTTAAGTAAAAGCATTTCAAAAACTGTTATTAAAGTCAAGATTTGGTAATAATTTTAGCTTATTAGTTTAATGAAACTGTTAAAACACAATTCTAAATTGGGTTTGTTGTGTTTTGGGGGGCCACACCTGGCCACACTCCTGGTAGGGTTCAAGGAGCCATAGAGGGTACAGGAGATCGAACTCAGGCCAGCTGCATGTAAGGCAAACACCTTATCCACTGTACTATCTCTAGGGCAAACTTTTGTTTTTACGATAAAAAGGAGTTGACTTACCAAATAAGTTAGTAGAACTACAATGATAAAAAATGTTTTCTCTTGTCGTAGCAGCACATTTAAAGCCATCACTCTTATAAAATGTCTTTATATAGTTGAAGATTCTGAAAGAGAAAATACAGTAAACATTAACATCAACGATTATTCTCTGTTTACTATATAATGCTTGCTATTTACTATATCCATCCACTAGATAATACTGTTTAGTTGGGGGGTTATTGGGCTCCACCCATCTGTATTCAGGCTTACTCTGGCTTAGTGCTCAGGAGTCAGCATGATGTACCAAGAATTGAGGTGGGGTTGACATTTAATCCCTATTTTATCTCTTCAGTTCCGATGTTGTCTATATTTTTAAAGGAATCACCTTTGAAAGGATACAATTAACAGGTAATATCAAATCACAAATCACAAATCATCCTGTTAATCGTCGATTGCCTCAAGCAGGCCCCAGTAACGTCTCCTTCATCCTAGCCCTGAGATTATATTCAAGGCTCTTTAGGAGAATGAGACCCAGCATTGTTACTGGTATTTGGCATATTGGGTACGCCACAGGCATTAATATATAATGTAATATATAATAATATATAATAATATAAAATATATAATATATATAATAATATATAAAGTAATATATAATGACTAAAACATTTAGAGAATGAGAATCGAAGTTTGTTCTACCCTTACATCCTATATAAAACTCCTACTGGCTCTGAATTCCTAGACTCTATTTTCTATTCAAGTCTTATTTCTTTTCTTTTCTTTTATTTGTTTGGTCCACAACCAGTGGTTCTCAGGGCTTACACTTGGCTCTAGGCTCAGGGATCACTCAGGATGTCAGGCAACAAACTGGTTTGGCCATGTGTGAGGAAAATGCCCCATCCACTGTACTTGATGTAAATTGATGCACATTTTTTTGGTTTGCTTTTGGGTAACTCCTGGTGATGCTCAGAGGTGACTCCTGGCTCTACTCTCAAGAATTACTCCTGGTGTGCATGGGGAACATATGGCATGCCAAGGATGGAACCTAGGTTGGCTCTGTGTAGGATGAATGTCTTACTACCTCACTGCCATACTTTCTCACTGGCCCCAATTTTCTGCCAAAGTTTCTTGTATCCAATCACCTTCACCCAGTAGAAAACGATTTCAAACAATGAGGAGATAATCCTTCTGTTTATGTAGTCTGGTCAGAGCCAACAGGACAACAATAGTGACAAAATACTTAACACAAACTAAGCACTATATCCAAGTACTACTGTCAGTAGTTCAGTTACTCAGTCCTCACAACCGCTCCAGAAAGTAGAGCACACGGGTGCTCCATTTGAGAGCAGCAGAGCGCAGAGTGACTTGCTCCTGGACACAACGCTAGTAAACAGCAGGGCTAGCTGCACCCTAGTAGGGCCTGACTACAGTGTCCCTGCATCCCATGTACCATGCAGAAAACAAAACACAAACAGAAAGAAAACTCCTTTGAACAAGAAAATGGAATCTTCAACCTTCGACCCCACGGCAAGCAGACACAGCTAGCATATGGCATTTGTGGTTTCTTCCCCTAATCTGTCAGCAAAAAATTAATCATTCATTTTAAAACCATCAAAAAATCATTACCATGTGATGATATCTGGGTACCACCCTGGCATTTTAAGAAAAACAGAAAGCAAAATATAGGATCATTGTATAAGTGAAACCCAAGCACAAAAATTTGTAAGTCTACAACTGTACCTCATGGTGTTTCACTAATAAAAATTTAATAAATAAATAAATAAATAAAAATATTTACTCAAGGACAAAAAAAAGAAACAAACCTAGTCAGTTCGTTTATTTTTTAAAGATTTCTACAATGTCAAGAAAAGAGACACACTGAGGAAGAAAAAGGAAGGTTGTCTGGAAGCGTCATCTTTCAAATGGAGAGACAAAGGTTCCGTTTCCAGGGAAGAGTCCATCTTCCGAAACGAAGGGAGGCTCCAATCAGATCATCTGACCACACAGAAAGAAGCCAGAGCAGAGAACTGTAACCAGGAGCCAAATAACTCAGGGGAACAATGACAGGATGACAAAAGAAGCAGAGAGGGGCAGGTGCTGGCCAACCAGCACAGTCCTCTGGGAGAACCCGACCTCTCTGCATCCCTCCTCAGGGGTCCAACTATTAGGGCAATGAGAAACCATTCCTGGGAATCGAACCAATGACCCAAGTGGAATGCACTCAAACAGCTGCTGCCCCCTCCTGCCACCTCTCCCGATGCTTGGGAATGGCTGTTTCCTCCCACCTCCGACCATGGCCCCACGCAATTTCAGAATCATCCAGCATTATCTAACTACGCGGTTTACTGCTTGTGTAGACTCAGAACTGGGGTCAGCAGATAAAAATCACATTCCCTGAAAGTTATGTTCCAGGTTTTCTCTGAACATAGTCCTATTTTGTTTAATATGCTAATATTTTACAGTAAAAAAATCCATAGTCTATCTGGAATCAAAAGAATATGGAAAAGGGGTATAGTACAAACACATTTGAACAAAATATGATAAACTAAGATGAACAGAGTCACCATATTAATAGAGTCCAAAAAGAATATATTGTGGGACACTATTAGTTACTGTGGAAGGGAAGCAAATACCACCGCCTTCTCTAAGAGAAGAAAATCATTGACATCTAATCAATTCAGAAGTTATAGTAATATGAGGTGTGGGTTTTACAGACTCCACATACAAAAATAAACATGCCAAAATAGTACCAATGGCACATCCCAGAGTGACACTAACAGAAATTTATTCATTTTATATTTTGCCTATTTGTTTGTTTTTAGCTTTGTAGCTACACCCCGTGCTACAAAAGTAGCTTCACTGTGTGTAAATTACAAGACACACAGGAGTGCTTACTCCTGGATCTGTGCTCAGGAGTTAATCCTGGCAGTGCTCATGGGACCATATGGGATGCTGGGTATTGAACCTGGGCTGGCTGCATGAAAGGCAAACATCCTACCTACTGTACTTCACTCTGGCACCACATGGTGAATTATTACTCTCTTTTCCCCACTCAAATATTTACTTTTAAAGGCAGGGAGGGGGATTCCCAAGCAGTGCCCAGAGGGACGTTATAGTGCCACTCCCACCAATACCCAGACAACTGGGATGAGGAGCAGCTCTGCCCCGTGGTGCTGGGAACACCAGAACATACCCAGGCCACATTTGGTGGTGAGGAACATATAATGGCCGGGTTCAAATTTGGTCCCTAGAGTATGCAAAGCATATGGTTCTGACCACTGAGCTATCTCCCCACTCCTACAAATTATTTACAATGGAAATATTCTATTAATGAAAATATATATATAGTATTCTTGTGGCAAAAGTGGTAGTCTTTCTTTAAAAGATCATAAAAAGGGTGATGAGATAAAAATGATATAAACATTAGCAAATAAAGGAGAAAATTAAATAAAGATCTGTGAGGTTTAGATTATAGGGAGGTTTTGCTTGTTTATCTCTTATGGTAGAAATAGGGATGTAACAGAAAAATTCTAATGGGGTGATGTCATACATACTGATGTGAATTATTCTCCCAACATACATGCTGTGGAAGGAAAGCAAATACGACAGCTTAAAATTTGAAGGGTTTTGATGAGCAAAACAAAAGTAGCACCACTGTGTAAGTTTTGAGGCACATGTGGATTTTTCCCCACCAAATTATCTTCTAAACCACTTAACCTAGAAATTCTGTTGACTTTCCATCCTTCACTGGTCACTCCCCGCCAAACTGCTCATCCTGCCCAGCCATACCTCAATACTAACTTTTCTCCTAAATAAATACCTGTGATCTTCCCTCCTTGTGCACTCTGGTCTATTTCTAAAAAATTTCTTTTCTACCATGTCCTCAGAAAACCCAGCATAAACGTGACCCTATGATGCGTCCCACCAACAAGCACAGGAACAGCCTCACCCCGCAGCTCTGTAGTTTGTCTCCATTCATGCACAGTGTTGATTGCTTTGCATAGAGCTACGTTTGCTGACATACTGGTCTTAAACCAGACTGGGCATTTCTATAAAATGGGGACCACACATTCCACAGGCATCAGAAAATGAAAAATTAATTACCCATTTAAGCTCAGCATTTGCTATACTGAATACTGTATTGAAGATTTGTGAAAGGGATGGCTTCCCTCTTACTATCATACACTAAAGTAGATATTTATCCCCATGCCATGAGAGAAGCAGAGTCAAAGAACACAAGAAAGAGCAGAGTGAAAGTACAGAGAGTGGGATGTTTGCTTTGGATGTAGCCAACCCAGGTTCGATCCCCGACATTCCATATGGTATCCCCAGCCCTGCCAGGAGTGATTCCTGAGCACCATCAGGTATGGCCCAAAAACCTAAAACAAAGAAGAAACAGTGAAAGACTGAATCAAGTTCATGCCCACTGATTCCACAAGAAGAGTCTCAGCACTGTGCAGGAATCTGGTTTGTTTCCCACTTTGTGTACATCTGAAGAGCCCTTCCACTTGGCACAGAAGGATGACAACTGATAGACAGGGACAAAAGACAAAACTAATGACCAATCCAGTTAGTCAACACATTTTGATGAACCTGCCTAAGGGAGGCAGGTTCAGGTTACAAGACACTAAAGGGGAAAGCTCAGCTTAGCAGGGCTAGAGAAGTCTCCCAAACGCTCTTCAGGATCACCTGGCTCAGGGGTATTTGGAAATACCCGAACTCTTCTAAGTGTAACTGTGGATTTCCCAAAATAAAATTAAATACCTTATAAAATGTTTTGGCATTTACAAAAGGAGAAAATTTTAATGAAATAGCTAGTGCTTGAGTAATAGTATTTCAACAAAAAAAATGAGGCAATCAAAAGATAGTTATGAAAATTGCCTTTAAATGGGCATTTGGGGTCTGGCCCAGATAGAAAAATGCATTTAGACACTTCAAAGTTCCATGAATCTGAAGATGACTTGTTAAGCATGAGAAATACACATTAGGCAGATTATGTACAATAGATCACTTTGGTTTTCATCGTTTGCCAAGATCCTCAGAGGAGACAACACTGACTAAGAAGTTCACATTCATTTTGGAACATGCATACAGAAAAGTGGCACTACCTAACAGCAAGAAGATG